CTTCAATTCTTAATTTGAATTTTAACGTTGTTCTAAAAGTAAACTTGCCTGGCACTAAGAAACCCATATAAAGGCCCGCATCATCTTTTTTATTTACAGGGGCTATTTGGTGATCCACATTTGAAAAGCGCTGCTAGTTTAGCAGAATTGAACAGTCGAGTTCGTGCCGAATGTGCTGACCTTGTCAATCAAATTGAAGTCGGTAGCAAGGAACGAACCACAGTTCAACTTTTTGATGACCTATCAAATACCATTTGTAAAGCTGCTGACATGGTGAGTTCGAATTGCGTCTTACATTTCTTTAGGAGTACTTTCTTGTGCTTACTAATCAATAGTTTCGTAGTGATTGTAGTGACTGAATACTCTCTTTGGAGTAATTGTATTTTGGCTGAACTAATAAAACCAAGGTAGAATGCGTGCGACAACTTCATAGCGATCCGGCTTACAACGAAGCTGCTCAACACTGCGCAAGCGATTATTGTGAACTTGTAGAAAGGTAGGTTGGTTCACCTGATTTCCTTTTGAACATTGCGACCTCTCCCAGTTTCTATGTGGCAGTTTTAGTTTGAACACTTACACAAAATTGTATCACAAGCTGAAGGACTCGAAGGAAACAGAAGCTGATCGGCTAGACGACGTAGACAAACATACCATCGATTTATTTCTCAATGAGTTCGAACAGTCTGGTGTACACCTTCCAGAAAAAGAGGTAGGAGAAGTTCTGCAATGATTACTTTGAAGATTTTATTTTTTGCTGAAGAAAACTCCCTTTCTTTACTCTTTCTATTTATTTACGTCAGCTATGGTATTTTAGCGAGCGGAGTTCGTTCGATTATCTGGTGAGATTTTCAACGCTAGTACAAAATTTCAAATGGGCTGCGACAAAGAAGTTATCGTAGGCAGGTGCGTGACTTTGCATAACATTGATGTAATGGAGTTTTCCTCTGTTATCCAAATAATAGCTGTTTATGTTCGCCATGTCCTATACGCTACAGGTATCGGTATTCGCTTTTCGCCTATGTGTAAGCCATGTGCAGGTTTCTTCCTTCTCCCTTAATTTCATTATTTTCAGAGCTCAGAAACATCAATACGGCCTTGAGTCAACGAGAATCGTATCCCCTGCATCGAACTGCGTTGAGCAGGCAAAGAGGCGTTTTATCCACACAACCTATTACCGTCATAATGACACCCAGGTATTTTGGACATTCATCTTTTTTAGGACGACAGGCTCGTTTTCCTGTTGACTACGTGAAAAACTCATTTTCCTTCTTTAATATGATTTATCGATGTAAAATGACAATCACCGACGGCTTTTGTAGGCCTACGATCAATGTCTAAATACACGGTCCCAAGAAACCGATCTTCAACACTGAAGATATCCTGAAATTTGTTGTGCAGGTACATTATTACATGTAGTTGACAGTCACTTTGCATCGTGTTCGGGGTCGCAGTTTTCGAAAGAAATTCTTCAACTTTAACGAATCACTAAGGTGACGCTGTTACCTATGACCAAAAATTTTCCTTCTATTCAGCGCTGATCGTGGCACAGAAACTAATTCGTTTAGATTGGAAAATTACAATAAATTACGAAGCTTCACTAGTTCAATAAGGCATTCAATTTTAAATCGCAACGCTGCAAAAAAATTCAAATTCTCGTTTATCGTATCCGGCTTTGATACCAAATCAAAAATCCCTGACCAATAGATGTCTCAGCAGTTGCTGTGATGTAACTTTCCCTGTCTTATGATGAATGACACTGTAATTAAAAGTGGTACATTTCTGTTCTAAGAAAATACAGTCGGTAACAGTAAAAATCTCAACTTACCAATTTTATTATGTTACCGTCCCACATTTCCCCTCGTTCTACCCGTTGTTCTTCAACACGCACTCCATACAACTTATTGAGCAGATTCGCAAGACCGCTCAGTAAATTCCCAAGATTGAGGAACTTATGTATTTCGTGGTAATGCTCGATTCCATAAGCACGTTCCTGAAAACAAGTTAGATTATCTTGAAAGGAAACCTTCCTCTCGTCAGAATTTCCTATAGACTCTGAAGGTCAATCCACCGAATGCGCCGCTTTTTCCTCTACTTTGATTTCTCTGAAGATTTTTTGTGCTCACGAGGCATGACGTTTTTATTTAAGAAACCTCGCTCTGGGATGCGTCATTCAACCGCAGTCGCGGTGCGTAGTCGTAGTAGTCGTTAAAAGTTTGTCCTCTTTTGCCAGTTAGCCATGCCTTGACACCTTCAAAAATGGTGTTTCGAATTCGAGGTCACAACCACCTCCTAATCCATTGGCCAAATACGGAGCCTTCGTTGTTCTTTGCACAAAAGGCGGTTGACTCCTGTTTCCATGATTGGCCTACAAGGGGTGGCCAAAAAAAAGAGACACTTTGCCCATGGCGCACATCATCGAACTTTTCGTCGCACAGGGAGCCGATGTTAATGAAAGTTTTACGGCGAATATTCCTTAGGTGTTCCCCCGTAAACAGAAGCAGGCCCTCCTTCACTGCCCCCGCCGTCTTCAGAATATAACGTCATCTGCCACCCCTTTCCTCCCCTCCACCCCATTATTAATAATCACACTCATTGAAAATTGAGGCTAAGAAATGATCTCTACAAACGGAAAAACAAATGCAAAAAATTTCGAAGAAACACTGTTGCTAACTTGCCACACACTAAAGGAGAAGAAAAACGAGCAGAAACGTATTATACAAGAAAGCGGAAAAGGTACCTTGTAAATTTGCGAAAGATAGTGTACGTCCCATTCGCCAATGCTACTGGATAGCCCATTACACTGCGATTGTACATCCAACAGTACTGCTATTTCTCGCTCTGCTGATGGTCGACAGGCCTGTACTTGCAAATCTTTTCCTCTCGACAGTCAAAAAACTCTATTTCGGGGGTTGTATAAGAAAGATCGCCTCCTAAATGTGTTATGCAAGCGAACACAAATCCGGAAATCGCGGCGCACCATAACGGGACCTTTGCGATATTCCCATACTGTTATCCATCTACGGCATGGATTTTGTGTGATGCTGCGTTGATTGACTCTACACTATTACGGAAAACCTTACTGGAGCGAAAAACCTAATGAGGTGTTCTTAATGGACCAAGATGCGTTGAAAGCACCAACGAGTCCGCCTTTTCTAAGGGAATGATTTTTCATCGACGCTGATGAAAGTTATTCGAGTGTCACCGGTATATGTGGTCCTACAGTGAAGAAAGAACTGTTTTTTACACTCAAAGTTTGAGCTCTTTAGTTTTTCACCGTTCAAAGTTTCTTATGAGTTTCCCTAATTTGCACCTGGCCAACATAAGAATTTCGAACCAGATATGAAATAGTGCCCAATATAAGAGAATCCAAAAACATACCTGTATGACACCCCACAGAAAATCGTGGGCATTTTCATAGGAGCCCAATAAGCTATTCTCTTGCGCTCTGTGTGCGTATGACGGATAACCAGTCAGTCTTGCGAGCGCATCCCGATGAAGGACAAGATTGCGCAGATTCTCTTCCTATATTAGAGAACCATGAAAAACAACAT